AAAGTATCAAGCAACCAGACGAAATGAAAACAGATTCTCAGCTCAGTTCTGTCTCCGATCACTTCTATGACAATTCTATTAAAGTGCATTTCAGTATCACTCCTTTCAGGCATCCAACACACGCACCTCCTCTTCGTTTGCAAGAAAAGGTCATTCAAGTTAATACGTCTTTGCTAGAACAACTTTTTCAGCTTTTTAATGGACTTCCGCTTTTTTTTTTCCTGACTTTTTTTTTTTAATAGGAAAAACAAAACAAACAAACAAACAAAAAAAACCCCCGACAATACTGAAAGTTCAAGTGCTTACTTCAACTGCCTAGGGCGACAGTTCTGGATACAGCACACTTGATTGTACAAGCAACACCTTATATCACGATCCAGGAATCAGGGCACTGGGCCCCTTTCCCCATTCACCATCCATAGCATCGTATGGGAAAAAGGAAACCCACATAATTAAAAAAAACACAACTCCAAAAACAATTAGCTATGAACATCATTCATTATATACACTGTCTCCTGCAAGACAGGCAAGAACTCATGAGTCCTCAGTTTTATTGTCCTTTCTAAGAGCAACTGAGCAACCACTGTTCATCTCCATTTAAATAAAACAACTTAGAGTTGAAATATATATATATAGATAGATATTTATATATTTATATATATATATATTGGTATTTCTTCTTAAATAACATATTTACATCTAATAGAAAATATAACTCTAGAGATAATCTTTCCAACAAAACAAAACTGGAAGGAAAAAAAAAAAGGAGAGAGAGGGAGAGAAAAAATGAGTTAATGAATTGAGGACGTCCGAGGCATGGGGAGGTGGAAAAAAGGGAAAAAAAAGAAAAGAAAAACAGCCACCAAAGCTTTGCCCAAACTTTCAGTCTTCCTGGAACAAGCCGGGGAAGAGTCATCGCTTTTCCTTAAAGAATCCTTGGTCCGTACTGCTCTCCTTTATCGTGACAGTTAAAAAGTTCGAGGTCACGTCCGTCACCACCACCTTCTCCAGGTTGTTGAGCGAAGGGCTCCAGGTCTCCTCTTCGGGGTCCCCCAGAATTCTGGCCACGGGGATCCTCGCGATGAGGGACGGCCGGCCAGCCTGGGCCCCCACACTGTCTCGGTACAAGCTGCCCACAGAGCTCGGGTTGGCCGAGCTGTGCAGGATCTTTGGCCCGCCGGGGTCCAGCCCGCCTTGCCCCTTGGGGTCCAGAAAGTCTGCCCTGTGCTTGGCGACCCGGGGAGCGTACGTCTCGGAGGCTCCAAGCTTCACCCCGACCTCGGCTCGGCCGGGACTGGCCATGGCGCCGGACAGCTCGGGCTCCTGCCTCCTGGCTAGCTGGATCACGCTGTGTCCCGACCCGAACTTGGCCGCCCCGGGAACGGCCTCCTCCATTTTCCGGGCTTTGAGGTAGTCTCCCACCTTGTCCCCCGGCTCCCCGGATTTCCGCTTGGTGGGATCCAGGCTCTCTACCGGATAAAGCTCTTTCCTCGGCTTCGGGCCTCTCTTTTTGGGGGTCTCCCCGGGTTTCTCTTCTACTCTAACCACCCGGTCCCGGATGCACTCCATCTTGGGGGTGCTGGTACTGGTACCGGTGCTGGTGCTGGTACTCGTGCTCTGGGGAGGCAGGCCTATGTTTCTCAGTCCTTCCCTAGCCCGGGAGGTGGAGGCCAGCTCCTGCGGGGACCGGCCAGGATACGGCACCCGGATCCCCCTGGCAGAGTCGCTGCGAAATTCGTAGGTTTTGGCTTTTGCTTTTGCCTGGGCCTGCAAAGGAAATAAATCACCGGTGACTTTCCCATCCCGCCATCTGGCTGCTCCATAATTACAACTTGCAAGATGAGCGGCTGCCTATGCCCGAGCTGGAGCGGGACCCTGCTATTACCACGCCGCCTTTTCACGCGGCCCTCCCCATGCCCCAGCCGAGCGGCACCAGCACGCGCACGCCGGGCTCCCGCCTCCTTACCTTCAGCAAGAAGGTTTTGGGTTTGGGGCCTCGCTTTTTGGGCCCGTAGAGCTCCATTTCTCGCTCCCTAGAGGTGTCAGAAACAAACAGAGCTTTGGTTCAGCAGGGCTACGAGACACAGAGCTACGTGCCGAGGCGCGGCAAGCAAGGGGCTCGTACCTTTCCTCAAAGGCTGCGAGCAGCCGGGCGTCCAGGATGTTCTCCTCGGGCTCCCAGGTGCTGTACCTAGCAGGGGCAGAGCAAAGAGAAACGGGCAGCAATAAAGACCCGGGGCCCAACTTTCCTTCCCCTTACAATGCGAAAGGCAGAACAATCATCCAGCCCCTCCGGCCTAGCGGCACCGACTTACTTCTGAGACCAGCCCTTCCATTTCACCAGATACTCCATGCGCCCCTGCAGAGGCAAAGGGAGACGAGAAACGGGCACGGGGGTGTGAATCCAGGCAGGCGTGCAACAAAGCCGCGCGCGCCGCGACACGCATGCCACACACACCGCCCTGCCTGCCCTCACCAGCGCGTGTCAAAAACGGCTGCCCGCATGCAACAAAAACCCGCCCGCGG